GATTCGTTGTTATGATAGGTGGTTAGCCATATACTACATACACCCAAGAATATATGCATGTGTATTTTTTTGCTCCCAAGCGAGATGATTCGCATTGAATACTGATCACTGAATCCGGAATAATAAGGCAATGGCAAAACGAGTTAAGCGGGAACCTGTGTTCGAGTTCTATGCGTATGGATGTGTATTGTACTATATATATCGTAGGTATGTCCAGCTCCAGCTCCAGCTCCAATAAAGATTCCACAGCAATTTCGTTAAGTGTACTATGAGGGGTTCAGTTTGGTTTCTAAATTGGCAATTAACAGTCGCTGGCGTTTCTGGCATTGCTTAATTACCAGCAACTGGATTGAGCTTTTCCACTATTCGAGCTTTTTCTCACGAGCGTGAAAAAGCTATAGATCGGCTAAAGATCGGGTGTAATTTACTGCGAACGCTTGTTAGCTTTATCAATTGGGGGGTACTTAGTACTCGGCGGCTAGCTAGTTAACTTGCTTTAGTTAGTGGCTTTGTGCGGAACCCGAGAGATACCTTTGCAACGCAAATGGACGCAGACACGAAACCAGAGGTGGCTCCCGTTCCCGTTTCCAACTCCGCCTGGAGTGACCAGCTGGCGGAGATGATGGCCTGGTTCGAGGGCAACCCAACCTGCCCGAAAAGATTGGTGAGTAGACCGATGTCTCGCTTCGATTGATAATCACTCGAGTGTGTGGTGGCGGGATTAATGGCGCGCAATAACCCGATATGGTTTACGATCCATTAACCTTGCCAAGTGGCGAAGTCAAAGGTCAAGTGTGCCGCCAAGTATCTTGTAATGTAACCTTCCCCGCAGAGGTTTATTAATTCTGTACTCCATTCCCCATAGAACCCATTGTGATGCTCCGTTTCCTCAAGTGTATGGCCTACGATGTGAAGAAGACCAAGGCCCTGGTGGAGCTCAACTACAGCATGCGGAATAAGCATCCGCACTTGTTTATGGATCGCAACATGAACGACGAGATGACCGCCAAGGGATTGAAAGTGTCGTGAGTGGGATCTTGGATGATAATGATTATATACCTCCTGATAATATACCTCCTCCCTTGCAGCGACTGTCTGATACTGCCTGGTATTACGCCCGAGGGTAACAAGCTGCTCTTCTTCCGCATGACCGACTTCGATCCATCTACGGTGGGAATCTATCCTCGATTCGGTTTCCCAAAATAACCATGAATAAATCATTCACTTTCATTCATTTGCAGCGCAATTCGGTGGAGGAAACCAAGATCTTCTTTATGCTAAGCGATGCTCGGTTCACGAGGCCGGATGTGGAGGTGGATGACGGAAAGGAGTACGTTCTGGACGAAGCAGATATTGCAAGCGGGGATGTGCAGATTGTGGATATTGAGGGCTATACCTGCGACACCTGGCCTACGTCTCGATCTTTGTGCTGCGGATCTACATGAAGTTCCTTCAGGAGGCCTATCCTTGTCGGCTCAAGGCCATGCATGTGATCAACTGCCCCTCGTTTCTGGACAAGCTTGTCTCCATGATGTCGCCCTTTTTACGAGAAGAGGTCCGAAATATGGCAAGTTCATGCATATATTTTGTACAGATTTCAATTATATATTTCGGGTTTCATCATCATAGATCAAATATCACACGGAGGGCCTGGAGAGCCTCTATGCGGAGGTGCCCAGGGACATGCTGCCGGAGGAGTACGGTGGCAAGGCGGGCACCGTGGAGCAGCTGAAGGCCAGGAGCATTCAGTCCCTCCGCGAAAAGAGGTGAGTGAGAGAATACTGAATACTTGTACTTACTTGGAAATCTCAAAAATATCAATTTGAACTGGAAATTTTGAAATTGATTATCCAAATATCTCGAGTTTGTAATTTTTCAACATAAAGATACTTATATCCTTGACTTTCCCTTTGATAGTGAATATCTGAGTGACGAACGCTTCTGGAAGGTTACGTCGCAGAGCAAGAGCCGCTGGTTATGGTTCTAATACCCTGTAGGATCCTGGTTCCGATATCCCTGGCGAACGTGATATTCAAATGTGATCAGAGAGCGCGCCTTGCCAAAGCGAAGCTATCGATAAAACGGGGATGTCCCCGTTTCGGAATTCATTCAGTTTGAGGAATCAACATTAATGTTTATAAGACCTTTAGTTATTCCATTAAATTCTCGCCATTATATCTGTAAGTAAGGGTTGGAATTTATCTAATTTAGTCTTTGTTTTTGTAAAAGGGTTAATCTAAGCCTAGCAATTTTCTATTCTATCATCCCAGTAAGGGTAAGGAAACTGTAGAATTATTACGAGCAATATCCAATAAATTAAATTAGATACATTTTATTGCCATCAAGAGTCAATTAGGAATTTTAATTAACTTCATTACGGCTGCTTGAGGCCATTTGTTTGAATCATTTTGTATTTTATTGTTTGGGAAAAAGCAAGTGAAATGCTTAGCCACTGAAGGAATATCAATAAGCAGAGCCATTAAGTGTGTCTAAAATTATATTTAAATTATATTTTTAGCTCGTAATAAAATCAATCTACAAGAACTAGCAATTAAAATGCACTATTTATAATTATTTTAAACGGTTTTTGTCTCTTCAAATGTAGTTTGAAGTTCAAATACAAAATTCTCTATTAAAGGCTGCCTGGAGTGCATCCGGAGATGGGGACATTTGGGATTCGGAGCACGAGCCGGTGATTAGGCAGATCCAGAAGCTGGGCCGGAACATATTTAGGCACTATTAAGCGTCGCGTCGACGGGCCAAACGATGGGCGCAAAAGCAATTATGAAATTACGTGTTTTTAATCGCAGACGCAATAGCATTGAATATTCAAAAACCCAATCGATGAGCGAAATCGATGCGAGAGTCGTCGGTCAGTCGCCTGCCAGGCTCCAACCACAGTGGTTCGCTTCAAAAATTCGCCTCCGAATTCGAAAGCGTTTTGAAAACCGATAACAAGACAACGACCGATAGATCGATAGGCGGACAATGAGCGCTGCTGGTGGAAAGAGCAGGTGACAGCGACGGGGCGACAACAGATCAGCTGGGACGCGACCTGCAGGAGCTGCTCGACTGGTTCCAGCACAATGAGAAACTGCCCAAGGATATTGGTAAGCGACGAGCGTGCCAGCGCCTCCATATGGGCCACCGCCAACCGGCCGTCGGAACGCATCAATCCGCTCAACGGGCAGGCCCACCTCCGCGGCGGCTAATGAGGTCGTTAGTAGGCACCCGGTGCCCCCTCGTCGCGTCGCGTTGCGTCGGGTTACGTCACTGCTGCCCCTTTAGTTTGTTTCTTTTTGTATACAAACAAGTGTCGCATTAATGTCCAATGTCCCACCTGCAGAGCCGCTGCTGCTGCGACGCTTCTACCAGTGCATGTACGGCGACCTGGAGGAGACCCGCAAGCTCATCGAGGTGAACTATGCGCTGCGCAACCGGCATCCGCATCTCTTCATCCAACGGGATCCCTGGACGAGGACAGCAGGCGAACCTTTGACTACGCGTAGGTTATGATGACACAACTATTAATTGCGATTACAACGTATCCGCCACCCACAGGGACATCCTTCCGTTGCCGGGCCTGACGCCGGACAAGTGCAAGGTGTCGCTGTACTGCTTCCGCGACTTTGAGGCCTCCAAGGTGAGCACTGAGACCTCCTCCTGAGACTCTCCTCCTCTTGTGACCCAGAACTCATCTGCAGATGCATCATACGGAGGATACGCGCGCCTTTTTCATGGTCACCGATTGCCGCTTTGTGACCCCCGATGATCCCGCAACGCGGATGTCCTGTCCGAGGCGAGGTGCAGATCTTCGACATGAAGGCACCACCATGCGGCACATCTCCCGGCTGACCATCAGCACGCTGCGCGCCTATATCAAGTTCCTGCAGGTGGCCTTTCCCGTGCGCCTGCGCGCCATCCATATGGTCAACTGCCCGACCTATTTGGACAGGATCGTCAGCGTGGTCAAGCCCTTCATCAGCGACGAAGTCTTCAAGCTGGTCTGTGCTCTGCCCAACTCTTCGTGAGTTGATAATGTTTATAATCCTCTTAACAGATCCGCTTTCACACCGTGAGCATGGACTCCCTGTACGAATTGTGCCCCGCAAGATGCTGCCGGAGGAGTACGGCGGCGGGGCTGGATCCTGGCCACGCTGCGGGCGCAGACGCAAAAGACCTTGGCGGAACACCGGTGCGTACGGACGAGCATATGATTATTGGAAAGCATTTAACAATAACAATTTGATTCCAGCGACTATCTGATGGACCCCGATCACTGGGTGGTGGAGAAGACCGAGAAGCGGAACGCGCACTCGTGGAGATTTTTTAAATAATTGGTTTTGTATTTTATGTTTGTTCTTGATTCTCGTTAATTGGTATTTGTTTTTTTTTTGTCATCTTTTTTTTTTAATAATATATATTTATATCTTTAGGCCTTTTTACGTATATACCTTGTATGTGTCTGTGTATTAAAATGGTTCCTGTGGCATTTTGACTTATAAATAAAGCTCATATTGTATTTATTTACAATGTTATTCATTGATGGAATATGATTTTAATGACGAGAAGTAAGTATTACTAGAAATAATACTTAAAGTTGGAATTTCCGGTAGAAATTCATAATCATAATCATCTGCGACCCTATAAACCGAAAGACTCTTACTTACTTGATGCTTATTTACCTTTACTTGTTTAATAACAAAATTATATTATACCCACCCAAAAATCCATTAATTCCAATTTAGAAATCTTTTCTGTGTACGTTTTTATTTAAATTTTGTATTGATCATTTGACAAGAGTTTGCACATAGTTTATATCGGGATTGGGGCCATATTCTTTATTGCTGACGAGGAAACTAGGTGGCCGCTGCTCCTTCGGGATTCGTCCATCGGCCGTTGCTGGACGCGACTCACAGCTGTCTTCGCCGCTGCTCGTTGTGGAAGCACCTTCCTCCGGCGATGTCTTGGCCGCATCATCCGCCTCCTGTTGCGCATCTGCCAGTCCAGCCTCCGCCTTTCCATTCTCCTCGGCGTCACCGCCCTTCTTGTTCTGTCGGGAACACGGATGGCATTCAAGTCGGGACTCCACATGGGTGCGGATTGAGGCACTGCTTACCTTCTTGCGCTTCTTGGGCTTCTCCGTCTTGACGGCGTGCAGCTCGGCCTCCTCCTGCAGCGCGGACTTGTAGTTGGCCGGAAAGAATTGGGTGGCCTCCTTGTGGCCAACACCGAGTTCGTACTGACATAGCTGGGACCGTAGGCCATCAGGGTGGGTATGGTCGGACTCCTCACTTTGTTCACCTTCAGCACTATCTTGTCGGTGCTGTATTACGTGGAATTATGATTAACAAGAAAGGAAACTAACTTCGGGGAGCCGAAGTTTATTTACCCTTGCAGTTCAAAACTGAATTATAGGATCCAATCGGAATTCGATAATAACAAAGCTATAAATATTCACATTCTCCGAATTGATGTATGGATTATATGATTCAATTTCCTTTGAAAAAATTTAAATTCTTGTTTTGCTATCTGGCTAGAACGATTCGCCTGTTAATGCTGATCAAGAATATATATGATTTATAGGTCGGAAATGGCTCCTTCACTGTAAAAATGATATTTCCTCAGCAAGATTCCTAAAATTGATATTTTTATATGATAATTTTTTGTAAGGATTTTTCTATATCATATTTTTTTGGACAACCAAAGTTAAAAATCGCATAACTTTGTTAAAAATGCCTTAATTTCAATTCGGAAGCGGTTCTGAGTTAGTTGTTTGGCGCTTAACAATTCTGCATACCAAGTTTTCCTTTTAAGATATTAAAATATTTTTTAAATTTTGCACATTTAACGATGCAACCCCTTAAATTTTAGAAAAAATTAAAATGGTCTTTGCTCCTGAGATGGCTAGAACGATTCGCCTGCTAATGCTGATCAAGAATATATGATTATAGGTCGGAAATGGCTCTTCACTGTAAAAATGCTATTTTCCTCAGCAAGATCCTAAAATTGATTTTTTTATATGATAATTTTTTTGTAAGGGATTTTTCTATATCATATTTTTGGAACAACCAAAGTTAAAATCGCATAACTTTGTCAAAAATGCATTAATTTCAATTCGGAAAGCGGTTCTGAGTTAGTTGTTTGGCGCTTAACAATTCTGCATACCAAGTTTTCCTTTTAAGATATTAAAATATTTTTTAAATTTTGCACATTTTAACGATGCAACCCCTTAAATTTTTTAGAAAAAATTTAAAATGGTTCTTTTGCTTCCTGAGATGGCTAGAACGATTCGCCTGCTAATGCTGATCAAGAATATATATGATTTATAGGGTCGGAAATGGCTCCTTCACTGTAAAAAATGCTATTTTCCTCAGCAAGATTCCTAAAATTGATTTTTTATATGATAATTTTTTTGTAAGGGATTTTCTATATCATATTTTTGGAACAACCAAAGTTTAAAAATCGCATAACTTGTCAAAAATGCATTAATTTCAATTCGGAAAGCGGTTCTGAGTTAGTTGTTTGGCGCTTAACAATTCTGCATACCAAGTTTTCCTTTTAAGATATTAAAATATTTTTAATATTTTGCACATTTAACGATGCAACCCTTAAATTTTTAGAAAAAATTTAAAATGGTTCTTTTGCTTCCTGAGATGGCTAGAACGATTCGCCTGCTAATGCTGATCAAGAATATATATGATTTATAGGGTCGGAAATGGCTCCTTCACTGTAAAAAATGCTATTTCCTCAGCAAGATTCCTAAAATTGATTTTTTATATGATAATTTTTTTGTAAGGGATTTTTCTATATCATATTTTTGGAACAACCAAAGTTTAAAAATCGCATAACTTTGTCAAAAATGCATTAATTTCAATTCGGAAAGCGTTCTGAGTTAGTTGTTTGGCGCTTAACAATTCTGCATACCAAGTTTTCCTTTTTAAGATATTAAAATATTTTTTAATATTTTTGCACATTTTAACGATGCAACCCCTTAAATTTTTAGAAAAA